TGAACTATTAATGAACAAAATTAGTTATAAAAAGAGCATTAATTATTTTCACTAAGTATTTAACTACTGGAAGGACTCAGAAGATTCAGTTTAAATTCACAGGACACCTTTATTAAAGGCAGCTAATACTAAGGTACTCAACAAAGTCTGTGGCCAAATGGAATTAAAATTCATGTCTATTTGTGTGCCAAAATTTTTTGCATCTAAATCTTGAAAAAAATTATCTTAGAAAAAATTATTTTCATTTTACTTGTAAAGCAAGAGAAACAGAGACAGAGATCTTCCATGTGCTGATTCACTCCACAGATGCCCGTAACACCTGGAGCTCAGCTAAGCCAAAACCAGGAGCCAACAAGTCAATCTGGGTTTCCATGTACATGGCAGGACCCAAGTACTTCAAGTACCACCAACCACCTCCCAGGGTTTGCATTAGCAGGAAGGTGGAATCAGAACTGGACTAGGACTTGAACCTAGGCACTCTCATATGGGATGTGGCTCCAGTTTGGTACCTTATCGGTTATACCATATGCCCTCCCCTGAACTAAACTGACAGACCCAGTTGGGATATTTAAAAGGACTTACCAGACTCCAGAGTGCATGCAATAACACTGCCCTAGAGACAAAGGAGGAGGGCAGCCAGAGAGTTAGAGGAACATTAAAGGTCAGGAATGTGATGGCTCCCACCAGGCTCTCAGCACTCAGACACAGAACATGCTGACCCACCAGGATCTAAGAAACAAATCTGCACTTAGGCCAGAACTTAAGCCCAGACTTCCCCGAAGGCACTCTTACACCTCTTTAGCCAGCTAACCAAGTCCGGCTACTTTATTTGGTAGGATCAGTTGAGCATCAGCAATCAAGAAGCTGTCCTTGGAATAGAGGAATTGCCAGGGGAGGTTCACCCTTTCATCAACAGATTTTGAAACTGCTTGTTGGCCGGTGATGTGGCATAGTAGGCCAACCCTCCGCCTGCAGTGTGCCAGCATCCCACATGGGCGTTGGTTCATGTCCTGGCTGCTCCTCTTCTGATCCTCTCTGCTATGGCCTGGGAAAGCAGTAGAAGATGGCCCAAGTGTTTGGGCCCCTGCACCCATGTGGGAGACCTGGAGGGAGCTCCTGGCTCCTGGCTTTGGATCTGCCTAGCTCTGGCCCTTTCGGCCATTTGGGGATTGAACCAGTGAATGGGCGACCTCTTTCTTTGTCTCTCCCTCTCTGTGTCTGTAACTCTGCCTCTCAAATAAACAAATAAAAATCTTAAAAACAGACAACAACAACCAAAAAAAATCTGCCCCTGTCTTGGGCCAGAATCAAAGACGTCACACAACAGAGGCAGAGATAGAGTATTTGCAGTTCAGCTGTAAATCAATCCTATCATTTACATAAATTTCATTTTTCTGAATTTTGGGAAGGCAAAATCAAGATTTATACACAGTCTTCTACATAAACGTAAGACTCAGTCTCTAGAAGTAAGCCATCTTACCGATGTCTTGTTCTGGCAGATTTGAAAAGCACACCACAAAAAGAAATAATCATGGGCAGAGACCTTTGCTGTTTGAAGGAATTTTGTATAAAATGATTCAAGAGCATGCCCACAAAATACCTGACATACTTTACAGAAAACAAGCCAAATTCTAGTCTATTTCTTTTGGTTTCTAACTGATGCAAAAATTTTGTTCATAACTGGTTATTTTTAGCAAATAATTTAATGCTATTTGGGGTATATGTAGAATTGCAAGGATATATAAATATATACTATATACATTATATATATGATATATATAGGATATATAATATATAAATATATAATATATAAATATATATCCTATATATAATAAATATATAAATAATATAAATAATAAATATATAAATAATTATAAATGTTCATTATTTTAACCAGTTTTAATATCTATTTTATAAGTGCATTGAATAAAATTACATCATTTATGTTGGATTCATCTTTTGCAACAGATTTCTTGATAAATAACCAATGTATTTTTCTACCTATACTTACATATTTCTGTATCTTTTGTACCTTAGATAGTTCAGAAAAGAAAACTAATGGGAAAAAAAAAGCTGTAGTGTATCTTTTTAAATTTTTTTTGACAGGCAGAGTTAGACAGCGAGAGAGAGAGACAGAGAGAAAAGTCTTCCTTCCATTGGTTCACCCCCAAAATGACCCCTACAGCCAGCACGCTGGGCTGATCTGAAGCCAGGAGCCAGGTGCTTCTCCTGGTCTCCCATGCGGATGCAGGGCCCAAGGACCCACCCTCCACTGTCGCAGGGCCCAAGGACCCACCCTCCACTGTCTTCCCGGGCCACAGCAGAGAGCTGGACTGGAATAGGAGCAACAGGGACAGAACCGGCGCCCCAACTGGGACTAGAACCCGGAGTGCCAATGCCGCAGGCGGAGGATTAGCCTAGTGAGCCATGGTGCCAGCCTGTTGTGCTATCCTTATTTTACCTTTTAGCAAACATACATTTTATACCCTTTGTTTCAAATGTAATGTTGCAAAAATAAACGTATGTTGTAACATCATTTCAAAGGCACTGCATGTTCTCATAATTCCTCATCATGAACTTGTACAAATTAAAACATTATAACAATTTTTATATGAAAAAATTTGAGAAAAGATATATAGTACTGTCTCTGAATTAATATTCTGAGCTCACTCTAATTTGTCCTAAAATTTATGTTTATGAGGAATATTTCAGATAGTTTCAAAAAGGTAATTTATGAACTTTTATATTAATAACCAAATTGAAAAAGCCCTTAAATTATGTCAAAAACTCTGCATATTCAATTTCAATCTGTTTAACAATTTAATGGGAGGCAGAACCCCTTCGGGTTTGGGAAGTCTCTAAAGTGGCATAGGGATCTGAATAGGATCAATTTTGAAAGGTATGTATTGATCACAATCTGGAAAAGGGAAGGGAAGCTACAAACAAGAACAGGGAAAGCACCCTCAGACAGAGCCACAAGTGCACCTGTTTGATGTTCTGAACCTTTTCAATGGCCTCAATGGAGATTTCAGAGATGCAAATACAGAGAGAAAGCTCCATGAACACTGCCCCTTCTCCCCACCAACTAATCAAAGAAAGTAGAGCACTGGACAGGTGGAATTTTGTTTTGCTTTCCTTTAATTCCAAGGAGTATCTCAAAGAAACAGTCTTATTTATTTCAACGGTTTTAAAGAGTGGTCATTGTAATAGTAGCTGTCCTGTGAAACTGTGTTAGTTAGAAAGACAGGTGCAGGATCCAATGCTGTGGCACAGTAGGTTAAAGAACCCATTCCACATCCCATACAGGTGCTGGTTCAAGTCCTGGCTGCTTCACCAGCTCCCTGCTAACGTGCTTGAGAAAGTAGCAGAGGATGACCCAAGTCCTTGGACCTCTGCATCCAGCGGGAATCCTGGATGAAGCTCCTGGCTCTTGGCTTCAGATTGGCTCAGCTCCGGCCAATGCAGCCATTGGGGAGTGAACCAGCTGATGAAAGACCTCTCTCTCTCTCTCTCTCTGTGTGTGTCTTTATCTCTCCAACTCTGTCTTTCAAAATAAATACACCTAAAAAAATAAAGGTAAAGGAACATCATGCTGACCACCAGATAAGTGCACACTTTTCATTTGTCACCTAAAATAAATACATAAATACATAATCCATGTTATCATTGACTTTTAAAAAATGAAAGGAAAAGATGCATGAATGGGTTCTCTAGAAGCAAGCCTGGAAAAAAAAAGCAGATATTTGGGACTAGCATTGAGGCACAGCACATTAAGCCACCACCTGCAATGCTGACATCCCATACGGGCACTGATTCAAATCCTGGCTGCTTCACTTCCAATTCAGTTTCCTGCTAATGCCTGGGAAAGAAGTGGAGGATGGCCCATGTGCTTGGGCCTCTGAACCCACATGAGAGACTAGATTGAAGCTATGGCTCCTGGCTTTGGACCAGCCCGGCTCCAGCCTTGTGGCCATTTGGGGAGTGATCTTATAGATGGAAGATTTTCTCCTTCCCTCCCTCCCTTTCTCTGTGGCTCTGCCTTCCAAATAAACTAATCAATCTGTGAAAAAAGGGAGATATTTGGCCCAGATGAGGCACTGTTTAGAGCAATGAGACTTCCGAGATTGTGGATTAGAATGGTGCATATGAGGGGCCAGTGCTGTGACATAGCGGGTAAAGCTGCTGCCTGCAGGTAAAAGTGGGTAAGTCCTTGTGTTCCTGCACCTGTGTGGGAGACCCAGGAGAAGCTCCTGGCTTCGGACTGGCACAGCTCCGGCTGTTGCAGCCAACTCGGGAGTGAACCAGCAGATGGAAGACCTCTCTCTCTCTCTCTGCCTCTCCTTCTCTCCCTGTGTAACTCTGACTTTCAAGTAAATAAATAATTTTTTTAAAGATTTATTTATTTACTTGAAAGATAGATTTACAGAGGGAGGTAGAGCCAGAGAGAGGGGGGTCTTCCATCCGCTGGTTTACTCCCCAAATGGCTACAATGGCCAGAGCTGAGCTGATCTGAAGCCAGGAGCCAGGAGCTTCTTTCAAGTCTTCCACATGGGTGCAGGGGCCCAAGGACAAGGGCCATCTTGTACTGCTTTCCCAGGCCATAGCAGAGAGCTGGATTGGAAACAGAGAAGCCGGAACTCAAACCAGCGCTCATATGTGATGCCAACACTGGAGACCAGGGCTTTTACCCACTGTGCCAAAGTGCAGGCCCCATAAATAAATCCTTAAAAAAAAAAAGAAAAGAAAAGAAAGAAAAGAAAACCTCTATATCTGTAACTCTGACTTTCAAATAAATAAATAAACCTTAAAAAGTTAAAAAAAAAAAGAAAAGAAAAAAAAGAATGGTGCATGTGAAACCTGAAGCCTCTCAAACCTGACCCAAGACAAGTCATCCCTATGCAGCCCTCCCACCTCTGGGAGATAAAACTGAACAGAGAAATTCTCAGGAACACAAACACAAGACCTGTGCCAAAGTTCTTGAAGGGTTTAGAAATACTGACCTAAGGCAACGTTCATACAAAGGGCACATATTCAGCCACCTGCAGAATGGACTTCTTGAACCTGTGTCTGTCCTCTCCCTGGAGATGCCTCCTGTAATAGAAAAATGAGACTCTGCGGCTGGGGCTGTGGTGTAGCAGGTAAAGCTGCAGCCTGCAGTGCCGGCAGCCCATATGAGCGCCGGTTGGAGTCCCGGCTGCTCCACTTCAATTCAGCTCTTTACTATGGCCTGGGAAAGCAGTAGAAGATGGCCCAAGTCCTTCAGCCCCTGCACCCGCATGGGAGATCCGGAAGAAGCTCCTGGCTTTGGATCGGCGCAGCTCTGGCTGTTGTGGCCATCTGGGGAGTGAACCAGGAGATGCAAGACCTCTCCCCCACCTCTCTATCTCTCTCACTCTGCCTTTCAAATAAATAAATAGGTATTTAAAAAAAAAAGAAGAGAAAAAATAAAAATGAGACTCAAGATGCTGGTTAATCTTGTAGAAAACAGGAGCAAGGTTTAGAAGACCATCCCTCTTTTCACCATAGAATATTGAAAGCATGATCAGACAGCCAATTTGTCCTCAGAAACTGTGATCCCAGGAACACAAATAAAACCCAACACTGAAGGGCTTTACTCAAATACTCAGAGTAAAGATTTAGCTCAGATTACACATTCCTGGGGGCCTGTGTTGTGGCACAGCACATAAAGCTGCCACCTGAGACACCAGCATTCCCATATGGGCCCATTTAAGGTCCCAGCTGTTCCATTCTAATCCAGTTTCCTGATAATGTCCTGGGAAAAGTAGCAGATAACTGCCCAAGTTATTCAGCCCCTACACCCGTGTGAGGATTAGATGAAGCTCCTGGCTCCTGGCTTTGGCCTGGTTCAGCCCTGAGCATTATAGCCATCTGGGGAGTGAAACAGCAGATGGAAAATCTCTCTCTCTCTCTCTCTCTCTCTCTCTCTCTCTGTCTCTCTCTCTCTCTTTCTGTAGCTCTTTCAAATAAACAAATTTAGAAAAAAAAAAAAAAAAGACAAAGTATGCATTGCAGCTTTCCCCAGGGTGGCCATTAGTTTTTGAAGTACTATCTTAACAGTTGGATGTTGGATTATTAACATGTTGGATTAACATGTGGGGTTATTAAGACATTATTTATTTGAGGGGCAGAGTGAGAGAGAGATAAAGAGAAAGAGAAACAGAGAGAAATCCTATTTACTCATTCTCTCCCAAAATGTCCTTTATAACCAGGACTATGGAGCTGAAAGTGGAAGCTGAGAACTGAATCCAGGCCTCCCAATCAGGTGGCAAGGACCCAGCTAACTGTTTGAGCCACCACATGTGGCCTTCCAGAGTCTACATTGGCACATTGGCAGGAAGCTGGAGTCAGGAGCCAGATCCAGGAATCAAACCCAAGCTCTCCAATGTAGGATGCAGGTATCTTTTTTTTTTTTTTTTTTTTTTTTTTGACAGGCAGAGTGGACAGTGAGAGAGAGAGAGACAGAGAGAAAGGTCTTCCTTTGCCGTTGGTTCACCCTCCAATGGCCGCCGCGGCCGGTGCACCGCGCTGATCTGAAGCCAGGAGCCAGGTGCTTTCCTGGTCTCCCATGGGGTGCAGGGCCCAAGTACCTGGGCCATCCTCCACTGCACTCCCTGGCCACAGCAGAGAGCTGGCCTGGAAGAGGGGCAACCGGGACAGAATCCGGCACCCCGACCGGGACTAGAACCCAGTGTGCCGGCGCCGCAAGATGGAGGATTAGCCTAGTGAGCCACGGCGCCGGCCGGATGCAGGTATCTTAATCATGAAACCAAATACCCTTTCCTTTAATAGATTCTGAGTGATATTTAATATATATGAGATGAGATGAGGGTCCAATTTAATTCTTCTACATGTGGATAACCAGTTTTCCCAAAATTTATTGAAGACACTGTGCTTTCCCTAATTGTGCATTCTTGCTGTCTTTCTTGAAACAAATCAATGGTAAATGTGTGGATTTACTTTTGGACTCTCTATTTAGCTCCATTCATGGAAATGTCTTTTTTTTTTTTATGCCTGTGCCATGCTGCTTTGCTTACTGTAGCTTTGTATTATATTTTAAAATCAGTAGTGTGTTACCTCCAGCATTGTTCTTGCTCAAGATTCCATTGGTAGGCAGTGGCTTCTGTGGCTCCATTTGACTGTTAAGATAGTGCTTCAAAAACTTTATTCCAGAAGTGAGCATTTGGCACAGCAGTGAAGACGCTGCTTAGGATGCCTGCATCCCATGTGAGAGTGACTGAACTTGAGTCCCAGCTCCACTTCAGATTTCAGTTTCCTGTTAGTGCACACCCTGTGAGGCAGAGGTAATGGTGGCTCGATTAGTTGTCCCTGCCACCTGTGTGGAAGACCTGAAATGAGTTCTGAATTCTGTGATGTTGTAATGTTCGGTAGAGTTCATAGGTAAAGGCTTTGAGGTGGCATTTATTCAGCTGCCTGATGCGTGGACCCCAACATCTGGGAATAGGTTCGGCTTTACTCCACATCAAGGTCAAGGGAAAGCCATCTTTCCTCAGGGAGGATGCAGGGAGTCGAGTAACAACTGAAAGTAAAAGAAACAAACTTGAGGTAATTCAACCACCACAGCAAAAGCCAGGAAGTAGAAGGAATGAAGGGAAGGAAGGAGAGACAATAGAAATGAGTTTCTTCTAATCAAGCATTTGGGTAAATCTAAATGACTAGGTCCTATCACATAATAGGTATATGCCATTAGGTTATTAGATATATAAAATTAAAATACACAGCATCAGTGTCATAAACATCAACAAAGTGATGAACAGAGTTAACCCTCTGGAAAGAGGTTGTTAAGTTTATATATAAACTGCTTCCATCTGAAGAGTACAGTGAGATAACTTTTGACAGATACAAATACCTATAACCACCACCACATTAGATATGAAAGATATTTATATCATCTCAACAGATTCCTTGCTCTTCTCAGGGAATTCGAAACTTCTGTCTCACACTCTAGGCCATATGGATGCTGGTTCAAGTCCTGGCTGCTCCACTTCTGATCCAGCTCCCTGCTAATGGCCTGGGAAAGTAGCAGAAGATGACCCAAGTGCTTGGGCCCCTGCACCCATGTGGGAGACCCAGAAAAAGCCCCTGGTTCTGGATTAGCTGGAGTGAAAAGCAGGATAAGGAAACTGAATGAAAAATAACTTTATAATTACATTTCAAAAAATAAACACAGAGTGAGTTTTTGTCTCACTGGATAAGACTCTGGTTAGAATGCTCTTGTCCTACATGGGAGCACTTGGATTCTGTGCCAGTGCCAGAAGTACCTGTGTTCTAGTCCCACCTCCACCTTCTGATTCCTGCTATGTGGTCACTGGGAAGAAATGGTGATGATTAAAACAGTCAAGCCCCTTGTACCCATGTGGGACACTAGCATTAAGGTACTGGCTCCTGACTTTGGCCCCAGGCCATTGCAGATGTGAAGTATGAACCAGCAGATAAGAACTCATTCTGCCTTTCACTCTTCCCTCTCTGTCTTTAAAATACAAATGAGCCAGCGCCCTGGCTCACTAGGTTAATCCTCCACCTGAGGTGCCGGCATACCATATGGGCTAGTCCCGGTTGCTCTTCTTCCAGTCCAGCTCTCTGCTGTGGCCAGGGAGGGCAGTGGAGGATGGCCAAGTGCTTGGGCTCCTGCACCCCATGGGAGACCAGGAGGAAGCATCTGGCTCCTGGCTTCGGATTGGCACAGCACCGGCTGTAGCGGCCATTTTGGGGGGTGAACCAATGGAGGGAAGACCTTTCTCTCAGTCTCTCCCTCTCACTGTCTAACTCCATCTTTCAAATAAAAAATGCAGATGAAGTAATCAATAATATAGTAAATGCTTCTGAAATACAGTGTTGAAAATGAACATCCTGATACCATTATAATCATAAAGGATATCTATCACTGTCTAGAGTCACAATTTGAAAAAATTGCAAAATCAGTGGACAAGACAGAGTTACATAAAAATCATAAAAGGTGACAAAAAGTTACCTAGCATGTGAAAATGTTTACATTGCTTTAAGATGACTCTGAAAAACTATGATCATAGATATTTGACAGGACAAATTATAGATTTATAACAACGCCAGTCAACATGGCTTTAGGGTCTCAGTGCTAGGATTGGCTTACCCTGGGATATTTATGATATATAGAAGTTATAGAAAGCATTCAAAGACAAAGTAAAAGATTTAAAATAATGCAGCTGTTTTGATTTAAAATATGTTCTGATTGTTAGTAGAAATAATATAGTGACTAGAAGACATACAGAGACAAGAAGGAAGATAATGCATTACAATTACATTTCTAAAATAAGATAAAATGCTACAGGAACATAAAACAAGATAATTATATACTGCTTAGTAGAATATACATATATAATGATCACAGTGTTTGCTAAATTCCAAAACGCTTTTCTCAATGAGTTATTTAAGCCCAAATTTCTAGAATTCTCTTGGAATTACCTTTACCATGTTATTTCAGGAATCTAAATTCCTGAAAAACTGAAACTTTTTGTGTGCTGACATTATGGCCATAAATGGAAAACTCCACCCTGATCTCATTTGAAAGGTTACAGTCAAAATGTAGTTCAGGTACCCAAACATTGTTTCAGTGACAAAATTATTATAAATGTTACATTCAGGCTCATATCTGCATGAGCCATTTATAAAACACAAGTGAATTTCATGTTTAGATTTGGATCTTATAGCTAAGATATCTCATTATATATAGGCAAATATTATAAAATCTGAGAAAAACAGTTTTTGAAAAATGAAATCTGAAATACTTCAGGTCACAAGCGTTTTGAATAAGGGATACTCACTGGTAGAACTAGCAAGATCAAGATAGCCATGGAGTTTTTGAATCTTCAAATGCCTTCATATGAGAGAGAGCAAGTAGGAGGGAAGAAGAAAAATATGAGACATCCTGAATACATACACCTGGGAACACATCCCATGAAACCCAGGACTCCAGTGGGTCAGGAAACACGGTCTCAAAAAAGCAAGATCCTGCAAAACTAATTGAGGTTTAAAGGCTGTGAAGGAGTCGCAGATGGAAGTGACAGGGGAATTCTGATGCCCAAAGAGCCCCATCACAGAAAATTTTCCCCAAATTCTTGAGTGATCCAAGAGGAGACCTAAGTCTGAGCAGAATTCTCAGAAAGCAAATCTGAAAGCATCAGTGACATTGGAAGTCGGATCCAATATGTGGCTGGCAGAAAGAGTGCGTGCAAGGGGCCGAAACTGGCTCAGCAGGTTAACGCCCTGGCCTGAAGCGCCGGCATCCTATATGGGCGCCGGTTCTAGTCCCGGCTGCTCCTCTTTCCATCCTGCTCTCTGCTACGGCCTGGGAAAGCAGTAGAAGATGACCCAAGGCCTTGGGCCTCTGCACCCATGTGGGAGACCCAGAAGAAGCTCCTGGCTCCTGGCTTCAGATTGGCACAGCTCCAGCTGTTGCAGCCATCTGGGGAGTGAACCAGTGGATAGAAGACTTCTCTCTCTGTCTCTACTTCTCTCTGTAACTCTGCCTGTCAAATAAATTTAAAAATCTTAAAAAAAAAAAAAAGAGTACACGCAAACTCTCTGAGGGGGTTAGGAAGAATTTTCTGAGGGGGGTTAGGAAGATCAGCAAGTCCTGAGGCAGCCTCATTCCTTAAGGACTTCGGAAATACCCTGGAAAACTCCATACAGTATGGACAGAAATACATTTCATTGGAAAGGCAGCTAGGAGTGGAGCAGAAAGTAAGCGCATCCTAAGGGGCAGAAAGTGTTCCTTCACTGAGAGCAAGGGAGAGAACAGTTTTAGCCACCGAGGACTGCGGGAGTGGGTATACACGGAGGCCATAGTTTTGGTTTCTTGGTAGTAATAACAGCAAAGGAACTGCAGAAGTGAAGATGAGACAGCTATGCTCGTTGGCCCCCACCTCCTACAGAAATATTAAACACAAAATACTTCTCTGACTAAAAATACAGGAAAACACATCTAATTTAAAGATGGATAACAGAAAAGAATTGCAGGGGTTGGCTTCAGAGTGCCAATTCAAGTCACCACATCTCTGCTTCTGATCCAGCTCTCTGCTAATGTGCCTGGGAAGGTGGCAGATGTTGGCCTAAGAACCTGCTCACCTGCCACCCATGTGGGAGAACCAGATGGAGTCCTGGGATCCTGACTTTGGGCTGAACCAACCTCAGCTCTTCTGGGAATTTGGGGAGTGAACCAGAGGGTGGAAGGTTTCTGTTTCTGTCTCTACCTCTCTCCTTGTCACTCTGTCATGTAAGTCAATGAATTAAAAAAAAAAAAAAAAAAAAGAAAAGAAAAGAAAAAAATGGATTATAATAAAACCCCATAAAAAGATGTTCAAAGGAAGGCAAGAAAAGTTGAAAATGATGTGAATAACACACTAACAAATGCAAAGGTCACAGCAGAAAGAAATGGTCCCCAAGAAATTGCAAACTATAAACTAATATTAACAAATGAGATCAAGCAAATTAAAACAACCATGGGAAGAATTGCAAGACCAGAAAAAGGAAGGTAGAAAATAAGTCTTGTAAACAAAAGGGTAATACAAAAAGAGCTAATGACAACCAAGGAAAGATTAGAAAAGGTCATTTCCGAAATGAGTACTAAACTACAAGAGTGGTTAAAAAGCCAGGCAAGGTCCACAAAGACATCTTACAGTGCTAAGGTTCCACCACTTATAATGATAATACAAGTTGTTGACATTGATGACTTAGGGATACTGTCAAATTTCATAAAGGGGAAACTGTACCTGAACCAAGTAAAGTAGTCGAACATGAATAGAGTAGAAGGCTTTGACATCCATCTCTCCATCTAAGATGGATTCAGTAGACTGAACAAAAGCACTATCATAGAAAACGTAACAACGTATTCATAAAGCAGATCTTGTATCCTTAGGTACTTTCTGCTCAAGAGAGTCAGTCATTCTTAACCATCCGATGTGACATCTTATGTGACAACACTAACCAGGAGTCCCATTTTCCATTACTTGAAATGAGCAAAATATTATATATCAAACTCAACATTTCAGTTGGTGTTTTTATATCTTTTTCCACTTGTCTGAGTCATTTACTTTCTTTTGTTTTAAAGTAAGATTTATTTATTTATTTGAAAGTCAGGGTTACACAGAGAGAGAAAGAGAGGCTGAGAGAGAGACTTCTTCCATCTGCTGGTTCACTCCTCAAGTGGACGCAACAGCTGGAGCTGCACCAATCCAAAGTTGAACCAGTGGATGAAGGATCTCTCTCTCTCTCTCTCTCTCTCTCTCTCTCTCTCTCTGCCATTCTCTCTAACTCTTTCAAATAAATAAATAAAATCTAAACAAACAAACAAACAAAAAAGGCCCTTATGTTAGAAGTTGTATGTTGTGGCACAGCAGGTTAAAGCCCTAGCCTGAAGCGCTGACATCCCATATGGGCGCCGGTTCAAGACCCGGCTACTCCACTTCCGATCCAGCTCTCTGCTATTGCCTGGGATGGCAGTAGAAGATGGCCCAAGTCCTTGGGTCCCTGCACCCATGTGAGAGACCCGGAAGATGCTCCTGGCTTTGGATTGGCGCAGCTCGGGCTGTTGCGGCCATCTGGGGAGGGAACCATCGGATGGAAGACCTCTTTCTCTCTTTGCCTCTCCTCTCTCTGTGTAACTCTGACTTTCAAATAAATAAATAAATCTTAAAAAAAAAAAAAGCTGTCAAACCTCGTTATAATAAGAGTAATGCAAATTTGATACTAAAATCTTATATTTCATATATTCAGACTGGCAAAAATCTAAAAGTTTGACATCATGCCCTGCAGGAGAGGCCATAGGAAAGCAGGCATTGTCATGCTTTGGTGATGGAAATGCGAAATGACACAACCCCCAGGGAGGGAAATTTGGCAGTACCTACTGAAATCACATAAGCATTTATCCCTTGATCTAGCAATTTCTAACCTGAGACTCCATCACTGAGGTATATTTCCAAAGTACAGAAATATGTGTGTGCAAAGTATTCACTTTATGAATCACTCATATTTGAAAAACACTAAAACAAATCCCAAAAGAGCCACCTGACTAAGTTAGCTGCTGAACCCACAACTCAGCCTTCAGCTGTGCACTGCAGTTTTCTTAGGGCAGCTGTTGCTTGGCTGATGGTCTGACCATGACTTTGCAGGCGTGGGCCTGTGGTTCTACTTATATGCTAATCCGTCTGATATCTGTCAGAGGCATCATTGTGTGGTAAAACACAAGGGATTCTATATGCCTGTCCATGCTGGCCCAAGTGCTGTGGGCAAGGAAGGCAAGTGTATATCAACATTCCATGTCAACAAGGACAAACACTATCCCCTCATGATAGGAGTCTCATGTAATCAGTCTTCACCAGTGAAATTACTACAGCCCACCAGAATAGAGGGCTATATCTCCTTTTGTCTTTTGGGTATTGTGCAGCATCAGATCGGTTTAAGAAAGGAAAAATACAAGTATCTTCTCTCTTTGTCTTTTGGCCTATTGAGCAGGCCCCATGGAGGCTGGACAAAGAGTCCAACTGACACCCACACCCACTGAGCACCGACTGCCCTGCGGATGGCATACTATAGGCATTTATGTGTCTTATGTATCTTTTCTTTTTAACAGGCAGAGTGGACAGTGAGAGAGAGAGAGACAGAGAGAAAGGACTTCCTTTTGCCATTGGTTCACCCTCCAATGGCCGCTGCAGTCGGTGCGCTGTGGCCGGCGCATCGCGCTGATCCGAAGCCAGGAGCCAGGTGCTTCTCCTGGTCCCCCATGCGGGTGCAGGGCCCAAGGACCTGGGCCATCCTCCACTGCACTCCTGGGCCATAGCAGAGAGCTGGCCTGGAAGAGGGGCAACCAGGACAGAATTCGGTGCCCTGACCGGGACTAGAACCCGGTGTGCCGGCGCCGCAAGGCAGAGGATTAGCCTATTGAGCCACGGCGCTGGCCATGTCTTACGTATCTTCACCTGTCTTCACACTCTGTGTCCTTCCTAGTAAGTCCATCCTCTAACCAGCACAACTTGCAAGACATTGCCCATGAATTAGTGTTGACCTTGGACTGTAAGTTTTTTCTCCTTTCCACCACTTTGTAGCGGTCTACTAGATTACCACCCATAATTCTATCCAGGGGGAGGATATTCCTTCCCGTATATCTTCAAACTCTGAGTAAGCCATAGGTCAGGAGCCTTCTACTTCCATCTGGCTTTGGCCACAGTGCATGCCAATCTAACCTATGAAACCACGTCTTTTGTTTTATTTTTTTCCAAAAAAAAAAAAAAATGTGTGAGGAAACCCTGGAATTTCAGAGCAGCAACGAAGGCAATCATTACCCAATCTAGGTCTGAAAGGGCAGGGAGACAGAGTGGCTTCTGGAATGTGGCAACAGAGAAACTGTGTTTCAAATTTGGTTTATATTTGAACTTCTATGATTATTTTAGCTTTTCCTTGTGCATCACCAGCTTTTGTCAACATACGTCCAAACCAAAGATTTGCACATTAATGTTCATAATGGATTTATTAATGGGTCCCAAACAGGAAACAACACAAGAGTCCATCAACAGGAGAATGGAGAGAGAAACTGGCCTTCAAACAGGAGGGTACTCCTCAGCAATAAAAAGGCACATCCTGGGGCCAGCGCTGTGGCGTAGCAGGTAAAGCTGCCGCCTGCAGTGTCAGTATCCCATGTGGGCGCTGGTTCCAGTCCCGGCTGCTCCACTTCTGATCCAGCTCTCTGCTATGGCCTGGGGGAAGTAGAAGAGGGCTCAAGTCCTTGGGCCCCTGCATCTGAGTGGGAGACCTGGAAGAAGCTCCTGGCTCCTGGCTTCGGATTGGCGCAGCTCTGGTCGTTGCAGCCGTCTGAGGAGTAAACCAGTGGATGGAAGACCTCTCTCTCTCTCTCTCTCTCTCTCTCTCTACCTCTGCCTCTCTGTAACTCTGCCTTGCAAATGAATAAATAAATCTTTTTTTAAAGGAACATCCTGCTTGTATTTGCAACAACACAGAGGAATCTCAAAATCATTATGCTGAGTGAAGAACATAGGCACAGAATGCGAAAGTTTTCATCGCACTTGTATGAAATTCCAGGAAAGACAAACCTCATCTGTAGGGACACAGCGCTCATCCATAATGGCATAAGGTATGAGATGGAAGTTTGGAATTCACCGAGAAGAGCAAGGAATCTTTTGAGATGATATAAATATCTTTTATATCTAACTGTGGTGGTGGTTTACAGGTATATGTATTTGTCAAAATTATCTAATTGTACTCTTCAGATGGGAGCAGTTTATATAAACTTACAAACTTTTCCCAGAGGGTTAACTCTATTTATCACTTTGTTGATTTTTATGACATTGATGCTGTGTACTTTTATATATTTAATACCCAATGATATATAATAACTATTTTTTGACAGGCAGAGTTAGACAGTGAGAGAGAGAGAGAGACAGAAAGGTCTTCCTTTCCCATTGGTTCACCCCCCAAATGGCCGCTACAGCTGGTGCGCTGCACCAACCTGAAGCCAGGAGCCAGATGCTTCTTCCTGGCCTCCCATGCTGGTGCAGGGCCCAAGCACTTGGGCCATCCTCCACTGCCTTCCTTGGCCACAGCAGAGAGCTGGACTGGAAGAGGAGCAACCGGGACTAGAACCCGGGTTCTAGCGCCGCACATGGAGGATTAGCCTAGCGAGCTGCAGTGCTGCCCATAACTATTATTTTGACAGGACCTAGTCATTTAGATTTACCCAAATGGCTTGATTAGAAGAAACTCATTTCTATTGTCTCACCTTCCCTCTCTTCCTTCTACTTCCTGGCTTTTGCTGCAATGGTTGAGTTATCTCTGTTTCTTTTTACTTTCAGTTGTTACTGGACTCCCTGTATCCTGCCTGAGGAAAGATGGTTTTCCCTTGTTTTAGCTTTATGTATTGCTTGTCAAGTAAACAAGAACTTGATGTGGGATAAAGCTGAACCTATTACTGGATGCTGGAGTACAATCATCAGGCAGCTGAATAAATGCAGGCTCAAAGCCTTTACTCATGAAATCTACTGAACATTACAACATCATAGAGTAAGAAGGAAACACATTATTGCATGTGACTACTATAATAAGATGATCCATTTTGGAACTATCATCTCTAGACTGAATTCTTTTGGGGTGAGGCAGATGATCTGGAAAATTCTGCATCCCCAGTGACTAGCATGGTTAGTATGACACAGCAGGGACTGAAAACCAGTATTGTTGAAATACATTTTTATAGGGGTTGTCTAGCATCTGAAAAATGAAGCCAAGAATTTT